GTTCTATGGTCTGCTGGGGTAATAGTATAGTGTAAAGTGCATAGAGCCTGCTGTTGAGCGGGGATATGCGCTATACAAATGCTATTTATTATTATCATTATTATTATTATCATTATTATATTGGTGAGTTTTAAGGTGTCTATCAAGAGCGCAGCCAATTGCACAAGCATTAATGTGAACACCCTGGATGCGGGGTTAAATTGACATGAATTCTTAAAAATATCAAGAATTCCACGAGATGTTCAAAGACAATATTTTTGGGTCGCTCCGAGAGAAAAGTAACAACTGAGAAAGTTGTTGGTTATGAAAAGGCAACAGCCACTCAAGCACCTCAGCGCACTAACTGCAAAACAGAGATAAGGACAATATCTAACAATTCTTAAATAAGGGAAACATGACGCGCAAAAATTTTGTAGCGCTTGTTGTTTTGTTTGTTTGTTGGGGTTGTTTTTTTTGTTGTTTTTTTTTGTTGTTTTGGTTGGGGGGGGGGTTTGGGGGGAGGGGTGTTCGTATTATTCTATTCATGTTTCTTCGTCTATATAGACTACCTCGCCATTTCTACTCACCCTGTCCTCCAAAGCAGTCTGACGATCGACCTATATCGATTAACTTCTTTGATTTCTTTGTCATAATCTTATCGATCGTCTGCTACTTAGCAGCAGAGGTAACGCATTACTAGCCATTTTCTTAGGGCGAACCGTAAGCTAAGTTGATATCATTCTGGACAATTGAGCGGAAGACCCAGGTTCGGATCCCTAACATGGCATTCTGAATGTGGATTATTTGGGGGAGTTTTAAGGCGCTCCACTCATTTGGCTCGATTCAATCGAATCGGAGACAGACCTTAAATTCGGTGGTCCCACCTCTTAAATATATTTACAGTGTTGAAAGATCAGGTGTTAAACCTATTAAATGAAATTTATACTGAAGCATATTATGCAAGATCTGTTAGAAGCAATCAAATCCACCAGCCTGCATCAGAAACTGAGAGTTATAACAACTCCGTTGACACCTCTGCTGTCAGAGTAAGGAGGACAATATTTAAGACAAATAGGAACAGACAGACAGACAGACAGACAAACAGGCAGACAGACAGACAGACAGACAGACAGACAGACAGACAGACAGACAGACAGACAGACAGACAGACATATAAACAAGCAAACAGACAGAAAGATAGGCTGGTAGATAGAGAAAAGGACAGACGGACAGACATACAGACAGACAAAGAAAGGGAGAAAGAGAGAGAGAGAGAGAGAATAAGAGAGAGACAGACACAGAGAGAGAGACAGAGACAGAGACAGAGACAAAGAGGGACAGGCAGAGAGAGAGAGGGGGGGGAGAGACAGAGAGGA